CCAGGTTTTATATTGAATGAAATGTTTTGAATGGTTGCATAAGGACTGCCCTCTAATGTATATTATTTATAATCGATCATGTCATATTTATAACGTTACAAATGATATAAAGTATGAAGTGAGGTAAACCGCCTATATAATAACTGTTATTGAAAACCAAACCGTAAACAAAACCCCTTGGCAGCTAAATCACCCAAACCTTTAGTGTTATATGTTTTAGGCTCCATTTCCCCCAATTCCAAGAATGTCTAGAAAATATTTTATATATTCTAATTAATTAATACAAGTATAACTGATTATGAGATATATTCTTGTAATTAATTAAATATTTTTCCAAATACTGTACTAATATTGATTGTATTAAGCGTGTTCATTGATTATCTAATTAGCATCATATAATATCATATAAGTTATAATAGTATATACAAGTATTCTATGTAATTTCTATTCAAGTATTTTAAGTATAAAACTTAAAATCTCTATTCATTTTAGCAGTTTTATTGCTTATGAATGAATACCTGGATGCGAGAGCACGACACCGTCAGTTCAGCCCATTGGGCGATGGCGTAGGGAAACAGTATCATCAAAGTAGTCCTAAGAGTGTTGAACAGAGCCATTGTAATGAACACCGCTTTTGCGGTCAATAGGTTCCCGGTTAACACGTATGCCATAAAACACGCGAACAGTATTATACGGGGGGCCGCCNTAAGAGTGTTGAACAGAGCCATTGTAATGAACACCGCTTTTGCGGTCAATAGGTTCCCGGTTAACACGTATGCCATAAAACACGCGAACAGTATTATACGGGGGGCCGCCAAGTATACCGACAAATTGATAGCATTTAGAAAATGGGCCTTTTGTATGCCACGGACCTCATTACTATTTATAGTAAATATCCTAGGTTATTCATTTATAATTGTTATTTATCATTGAGTTTCCAACTTTCCACTTTATTGCAAAGTGTATCGCATTTTTAAAAACTATTACCGGTATAATTTTTGCATACATGTTTTAAAAGGTTATTAAATATAACTATAGTATAACATTCGGACATACTTTCTAGCGGTGGCCACCAGTTTCGCAAAGGACTGCTCCCAGGCATACATTTTGATGACTCGCATCCCCGATATAATCTCATTCATTAGTCGCAGTCGACTGTCCGTTAAATGAGCGGTCATTAGCCTATGATTTCAACACAAAAACAACTAATTATTAGACCAAACATATTGACCGCCAGTTGTTGTCACAAACTCCACTCAAACCTGACTTTCGAGAAAAGTTTGCCCATAAATGCCTGAAACAGTATAAACAGCAATAAAAGGGCCAAACCTACGAAGCAATAGTAACTGAGCTCCGTATATATAATATATACGGCGATCCCTGTCTGTATGGGCGCTACGAGTAAATAGCAGACATTTGTTGAAAACTGTATTTAAAAATAACAAATTATTAATAAAATCCATTTACTACTACAGTTCCCTCAAATATAGCCCATACCTCATCAAATCGACTGACATCATTGGACATTAGGTTCACAATGTGGCCCACTGTGGTTTTGGCCAGAGATGCCCGGCTCAGTTTAAGCGACTAATTACAAAAGGCATGTAAATTGACCCTGACCAATTTTATAAAATTTTATACCTTCTTATAAATAAGAGTAGAGGAAGCGGCGCGTAATCGCATACCCATTCGCATGACTATAATGGTGGCCGATTGGTACAGCAATTTGAACAAGGCCGTACAAAAACATACTCCCCCCGCGGCCACGCATGCTTGCTTGAAGGTGCGATTTTCTACCTTGTTAAAATGGTCTATCACTATGCCAAGTAGCAGGGGCTGACATATAACCCAAACGCATTCCTATCAACAAAAGGGTTTAACATTTTATTTAATGAAATTATTCATGTTTATTGAGCATCCAGGTGGTTTTTAATTATCTGAAATTATACGCTTACCCCCAATATTAATAAAGTGAGTGGCGGTATATAGTACTTCCCGAATGCCATAACTAATGCCCTCCAGAATTTGGATGACTTTTTTTGACGTTCATTATTCCAGTGCCTGATATGGAGTCACAATTTAGTATACCTCTAATCAGCCCTCCCTCCCATCCGGCTCTATATGAATGACTGATTTACTAGACTCCATGAGCCCATACCTACTTTTCCAGCTCCTGGACAATCGGTTGTGACTCGTCGTGTCGGGAGCACCGGAACAGGTCGTCTACATTGAGACCATTGTTTCGCCAACCCTTCATAAACACCGGGAATATCCATCTGTTTGGTCATAATGTTTGAAATAATGATTATTTAGGAAATCTTATTTTAGTTAATCAGATCATTTGTTTTTAAATTACTATATAAAGTTTTTATAATGCTAAGAATAATTTTGGTACCAAAATTAATTTGTATATTACGCTCTAACTTTTATTTTTTCATGTTTGTGTATTTTTTCTATCTACCGTATACTGTACTTTATTTAAAATGTAAATTACTTTGTGGACAACCACTTGCATTGTTGAATTATTTATTTGATAATAAAAATAATTTTATATTATCTACACCATTTAATCTACTTGATAGACTCAAGTAATAAATTTGAATAAACTCTAAACCATTTGAAATATTTGTTGAAAATTGTATATGTAATTCATAATATTTATTAGGAATTATTTTTGTGTAGTTTTCACTTTTATTGAGCACCGGTATGCCAACAGCGTGTATAACTGTAAACAGGTGTTTGACAAACTCACGAGTCAACACAAAACATTTAATTTAAAAATTTAAAACATTTAAAAACATTTAAATATTGAACAAGGCAACATTTGAGTGATCACTGCATCCATATATCTATCATTATGTTCACTAATTAGTGTGCATTTAGTTAATATTACTACAGTCAATGATCGATCATACGAACACGTTTGGTTTGGCAAATATTGTACATAAGATCGATTGTACACAACATCCATTAACTCAAAAAAAATTATATAAGCTGTGGACAAGCACAACTAGACAGGTGATTGCTTGATTACTTCAAATCGCAAATTCTATCTAGGTTCTGACTTCAGGATCTTATTCTCAAATAAATTATACGTAATTTAGTATATAAATTAATATTTCTATCTTGCCCTGTTATTTTTATATTTAAGGTTGGAGTTTTCAGTGGAAAATTTTTGATTTTTCCATTGAAAATATGTCAGTTTTTTACCAATGCTTCTATCTCAGCTTAAAATTATACCAATGCTTAAAATTGAATATCTTATTGGATTATAAAATTCATATTTTTATTTAATGTTGATGTTTCAATATTAAAAATCGGTAATAAAATAACCAAGAAACACCTATTATTCATATGAGCTGAGGTAGAAGCAACGGTAAAAGACTGTCATATATTTTCACTGAGAATATCAATTAAATTTCTGAAAACTTCAACCTCAACTATCTAAATAACAGGGTAAGATATAAATATTAATTTATATACAAAATTACGCATAATTTATCTGAGAATAAGATCCTGAAGCCAGAACCAAGATAGAATTTGCAGTTTTAAAATAATCAAACAAAAACATGTCCTAGTTGTGCCTGTCCATAGCTGTATGTAATTAATAGGAAAATTTCAAATTAAATATTTTAATCAATTAAGTTTGAATTTAATTGTTTAACATTGCTAATTATAATTAGAGTTTAAACAGAATTAAGAAAATGATCAGTTATTTTGGATTGTTTAGTTGTTTTAAAAGATATATTTATGAAATGTCTTTGTATTTCATTGAGAATCTCATGAAAAGAATTGCTATTATTCTGAGAAAAATATTTCTGTAAATCTTTTATGTTGTACAACAAAGCTTAAGCATAGTTTACAGTTTTGAAATAACTTTGTACATAACATCGATTTGATTTTGCATTGAAATTGCAGTTTTGGTTGAAAATATATGTTCATAACAAACATTTGTACATAATATCGATGTACATAACATCCATCATAAATAACATTACAAGTATAGGAAATGGTTTTGGTTTTTGAGTACAGGTTCATAAGAAACACGATGTCGTATCATCCATGTTCGTAACAAACATCTCTGACTGTATCAGTATATTAATTTCATTTTGTAAATACCTTCAATTATAATTATTAATTTTTATTAAATTTAAATAACATAAACTAATTCAAATAATTAAAATTAGATACAATTGTCTATTTACCTAAAATAAGACCAAGACAATTTAACACTTACGTGAGAAATATTTTTTGGAAAATATTGGTATTATCCCACCGAGACTTCCCCAATATTTGAGCACCCTCCTCCATTATTAATTTTTAAATTATTTATAAATATGTTTATTCTGAGATTAAAATAAATTACTATTGAGATTTATAATTTAGATTATTTTTTAATCATTTTATAACTAATATTAAATAAACTCAATTGACAACACATTTAGTAATATATAATTTAATACCATTATGAAATTATATACCTTAAATAATTTAATAACTATTAAATGTAATAAAATTTTAAGAACACATATGTACTATAAATTGTTGAAGTATTCCTAGAAATATACTTTTCAAACTGTAATTTTAGCATTAACACACATTCATAAATAATGATTGCCAAAATAATTAAAAATAATTTTCGATAAATAGTACAAATTTAAATAAAATAAATTTATAAATTAATGTTATATTTAATAAATATAATCTTTCATTTGAGCCCTCAATCGGTCCAATCGGTTGAGACACAAAAGTTGTGAAGGGTCAAAGTTCACGAATTTTGCCAAAATGTACCAAATTTGCCATATTTCTGAAAAAAATTAAAAAATTTTCGAAGATTTATTCTAAGATTTCCCAAATGATGGCATATTT